CACCAGCCAGGAGGGGCATGGGTCAAGATGGCAAGTGGAGGCCTTCACAGTCCCCAGGATCCTGTCCACTTCCTCAGGATGTTTCATATACATTAACTAAATTCTTGCAAGAGGCTTATAACACAACTGTATATTATGAATATAATCCAAATGAAGAGCCAAACATTATGGCTTTCCTGAATCAAGCCAGTATTTGACCTTGAGATTCTTCTGGTCATGTCCCTGAACTGTATCTTTGGGCAGTGTAATCTTAAACACAGCTGTGATCCTTAACAGTCCCAGCAACAAAATCAAGCATATGCAAAAGGGATCGGCATAGCAGCAATGACAGATAGTCCAACAGCAATACAGGTAAATTGCCTATCATCTGTCCATTATGAATATCAGAGAAGAAATTTGTCAACAGTGCAGAAATGCTACAATAAGATTACTCTACTCAGTCCATATCCCCTCCATACGAGACAAGATGATCATCAGCATTTTACTTTTATACCAGAGATGTTTTGCCAGTGTATGGGTTTTGTTGTAGTTGCTTACTAATAGCACCATCATAAAATCACATTGATATAGATTTATTACACCAGTGTATTATGGATTCTGCCAGCAAAGGGTATTTAGAAACAATCATATTCTAGAAGACTAGAATTTATAGACCTATTTTTCTTTATATTATTAAGATGACCTAATAGCCTATTTTTACCTACTAGTGACTAACCTCAAAATTAAACATTAGGATCAAGAAAAAAGTTAAACACCCAACTTATCATATGCTATAAATAAGATGACACAAGCAAGTGGACATGACATAAAGGCAATGTAAAATATGAGTGTCTCCTAGGATCTGCTCAATGTTTGCTTTAGTAATCTAAAGAGTATGTATGAAAATTGATCGCCCTAGTTTCCAATCCCTCTGTTCCAACCTGTACAGGGTCTAAAATAATCTTGATAGTAATAAAACACACCTCTTATTCCCTATGGCAGCAGAAATAGAAAGAAAAGTGGTAGAAGATAACTTCATAAAAATGTTTTTTTCCCCTAATATAATTCCTCTGAGAAAAAAAACAAGCAACTTTGAAAAGTCTCAACAAGGAAACAGATTTCTTACAACAGTTACACCATCTCTTGGTTCCCAAACATAATCATTTGACACAGGAACAGATGCAGTTCTAAATTCTCTCACCCTTAATATCCGAGAAATTATTTGTAAGCACATTCCTAAGAACAAAAACAGTAACTTAACTGTTACTGTTACATTCTATTCTCTGTAACATTTTGAAACCAAATACTGATCTATGAAGCCTCTCCTAGTACTAAATTAGGCTACATTTGCACTATTTCTACATATTAAATCAGACTTAAGACAAGGACACTCATATGCTCAGAATATTCCAACACCTACAAAAAGGTCTACTGAAACAAGCCCTATTTGTGACACTTGAACCTACTGATATTATACAAGTCCCCCCCCCCCAACATGAAGCTGATGAAGATATCTATTTACAAATTGGTAAGGGATAGCATTATTATCCCAAATTGTTTCTGTGACCAATAGAAAAGCAGCTTGGCTACCTACTATCAATAACCCAACCCTAATTGGATTTGTTTGCTTTTTCCTTACCATGAGGTTTGAACCCAACCATTGTAATTAATGTGATCAAAGCTACTATGTTTGACCATATTTTATTCAATTATGTATGTAGTTATGTAACTAATAAGCTCTTGCTAGAGTAAAACAAAGTTGAAAGTCAGGACACTTCAGCTGACATTCCTGATGACAGAGCAATATCACATCTGAACCCATTTAAATGTTATTAGTCAACAGATCAGAGCTAAGATAGCTAACAATAAAAACAGGCCATGAAAACAATACATAAATACAACACAACAGTGACCCAAAATAACTATGTACAGTGCTATCCTACACAACACTCATTCAGCAAATTGCTTCCTCATTCTAATAGCCACTGACAGAAGGTTAGCCACTAAGAATAAATTTTGGAATTTTATCTTCCAGCAAATATTTAATGAGTGGATCTGCCTGGAAGTGCAATCAATACAGGTATAATCAATCAATGGTGGGCTCCAGTTTAAAAACTGCAGAATAGAAGAATGTGGGGCACAAACTCCACTTTCTGTTCATGACAAGGAGAAACTCTCAAACACAAACACATTTTTCTTGCAGAAACTGTGAGGAGATTACATTCAGTCTTGCCCAAATAATGGTAGTAGACTTCCACTAAGATGAATTGCTTGCTGGGCGAAAAAAAACCTTTCAAATAAATTGCCAAACTGACCTGGTGAACAAGAAAAATGAATATAAACTGAGAAATCCTGAAGAGACTTATTACTGAAAATGCAGAATTACATCCTACTTGATAAAGAAAAACAGTTGATAGCCTAATAGAACAATGAACTCTTCCAGCTACCAGAGACATACTAGAACATTTGTGGCCAACTGTACAGAGATAGGACAGTTACCTTGGGTCTATCCTAAAGATCCTGGAGGCTGTTTCACCAGGTACTTGGGCCCAGAGACTAGGCAAGCTCTGCTGCTGATGTGGTTTTTATGACTGGAATTTATTAGTTACCTCAAGTGTCAATGATCACTGCTTGTAGCTGCTGTTTTAATCCTTGAAAGCTGCCCAGTCACTACTATGAGATGAGCAACCATATACATTATTTAAATAAATAAATATTCTCATCCAGAGGTTCAGGGCACGGAGCCAATGTAGTAAGTGTTGAACATTAAATTGGAGAGTGCTTTTCAGCACCCTCTTTTGTGTACAGAGTTAACACTACAGGGAAGCACAATATACACAAAGTGCAGACTTTTCCATGCACATTCCTTATCCACAGGAACAGCTTGTGTCAAGAGGGATGCTTGACTGGCTAATAGATCGGCTTCCTCACCCAGGACTACTGGGCATGTCAGGGCTCCCTCAATCGGCACCAAGGGACCTCTCTGGTTCTGCATAACCCCCAAAGACGTAGCCCGTGCCGGTCCAGGCCCTTCTGCAATGATGTTTTCCAGTAGAAGGATCCCGCGGCGGCCTTGCAGTCCGCTTTGAACGCCATGTGACAGTTGAGGCCTCCTGACGATCTCGTTCCCGGGAAGGACGAGTGCGTACTGCGCGGGCCCGGGGCAATGACTGATGGGGAGAGCTTGTGGGGGGGGGGGGGATTGGGGGGATGCCGGCGCCGGCGCGGGATGGGGGGGGACGC